ACTTTTGCAAACCCTCTCTCCTTTCCCAGTCACCCCCAGGCGGGGTTCCTGAGGGCATCTCCCCTCCCCCACAGTTTGCAGGCTTTTTGGCTGCTTCTGAAGGGCAGGCTTAAAGTTCTGACCTGACTCCTGGTTTTTGGTGCCACTTAACCCCATGGGACCTATTACTTAGGCAGCAGGAGAGTCGAGTATCAAAGATACTAATCAGGGTCTTGTGGTCACCTGTAGGCTCCAGAGAGACAGTGGAAACTTGGAGGGGAGCCAGAGCAGAGCCACAAAGATGAAAGGGCTGGAAAGCAGGACTGGAGCTGGAATGCCAGAGCCAGCTAGCCCTCCTCAGCTGCTCTGCGGCCGAGTCAGAAATAGGCTTTCTGTTTTGGAAGGGTTTAAGTTTTAGATAAAACAAGAAGGCACACGTGGACTGGCTACTCCTGAACTATGTTGTCAAGGGAAGATAAACTGAGGTTGCAGAAGGGATTTTGGTGGGATACAAGGGAGGACTTCCTGTTGAAAATTGATCTGCGCATAAACAGCAACAAAGGAACTTGAAGAGGGCTCTGGAATCTGTTTAACCAACAGGACAATACCTAAAGATGGCCAGTAGATGGCGAAGGAGACTGATGGCCACACCACATGCGCTCATTTCTAGGGACTGTTAAGCAATTTTAAAATCTGAGGTTTGTATGTCTCCCTCTCCTACTTCTCTGACAATCGCCCAAATCCTTTACCTCTCTTTGTGTGTCTGCAGCATGCGTCTAAAGAATCAAGGAGATGGACAAGCGAGGCCTGGAAAGAACCCACGTGTATGCAGGAAAAGTGGAGAAGCCTGGGGAGGGGGCTGGAGGAGAGGGGGACAAAGCTTATTTGTGCATAATGTCCTGCTGTTTCTTTAATCTGCAACTGGAAAATGGGCCAGGAAAGAAAGGAATGATATCTCCAACCTCTCTGCCTACCTCAGATGCCACTCTGAGAGGATTCTGCAGAGCACAGGGCATGTGGAATGCTTAGTATCTTTTCCTCCACTGGAAGCTATGGAGCCAGGGCCT